TCGTCACATTTTCAACTCACTATTTCTTTCCAACAAAGAAACACAGAAACTTACACAGACAATTTCAAAAGACAATCATTTAAAGTATTGCCACTGGGTCAACTTTATCCACGAATAATGTGTTTTGTGCCATTCTATGCTCGATGTGTTTTATGTAATCGATGGAGTTTAATCAATGTTTTATAACCCTTTTTAGTAGATAAAACGTATTAATGTGTATGCCAGATACTTGATGTTTGATGTTGGGTGAATGCTTGTTTTATTTCCAATATCTTGGTGTGAATTAAATGTTGATTTTTGGTATCATACACATGATTACAACACTTTAAGGACAGGGACTAAACTAATGAACACACACAGATATCTCTAAAAGTTTTATTAATACTTCTATAGAGTAGTTCAATAAATTCTTGTTTCATTATAAGAATTGTTGTCTTGTGTTTCATTATAAGAATCGTTGTCTTGTGTTTCATTATAAGAATCGTTGTCTCTGAACACTGGGGCCCCCCAAGGATGTGTGCTGAGCCCCCTCCTCTTCACTCTGCTGACCCACGACTGCACACCATCACACAACTCCAACCTCCTTATTAAGTTTGCAGATGACAGGACTGTAGTGGGTCTCATTAGCAACAGAGATGAAACAAACTACAGGAACGAGGTGAGCCGCCTGGCCGGGTGGTGCAGTGACAACAATCTCTCTCTGAATGTGGAGAAGACAAAGGAGATTGTTGTTGACTTCAGGAGAGTGCGCACTCAGCATGCTCCTCTGTCCGTCAATGGTGTGACTGTGGAGAGGGTGAGCAGCACCAAGTTCCTGGGTGTGCACATCACAGAGGATCTCTCCTGGGCTGACAACACCACAGCACTGGCCAAGAAAGCACAGCAGCGTCTCTACTTCCGCCGCAAACTAAGAAGAGACGCTGCTGTGCTTTCTTGGCCATTGCTGTGGTGTTGACAGCCCAGGAGTGTTTGTCCAGCGAGACGTTAACATCAGTATATCTTAACAATTTGGATATTTGTATTATCCCTGGCCACAGGTTAATACATGCTAGTGATAATTTATAAGCTACGAGCTAGGTAGCAAAATCTGGGGAAAGTTGAACTTTATGAAGAATTATTGTCTTGTGTTGTGTATTTAATGAAACATGAATTTATTTGAGCTACTTTATAGGTTACATGGTACTAAACTAATGAAAACACACACACACACACACACACACATTCCCCTGGAGTTCTGAGGAAGTCCCAAAAGTCTAGTAAGTTATTCGTTCTTAGATCGCACCAAGAAAATCACAAAAGCAGAGATTTGGATTATCTTTAGTTGCTTAAGATCAATTCAGCACCAGTTTTCCAGCTAGTAAGGAGACCTTGTTTTACTTGCGTTTGAGTTGAGAGCTGAGAGGGGTTTTCCTCATTGGCTCGTCCCAGGGAATCCCGGAGCCTCTGATTGGTTGCTGATCTGTCGTTTGGATGACGTCTTTTAAGAAACGCGCGTTTTTCTGGAATGTAGAGAAAGGGGGAGGACAGACAAGATCCTGAGGTCAAGGAGGTTGCAAAAAGTCATGCGGTGTAGACCTGCTATTCTTCTCGCTCAAACGTGGAGCTGTAAAATTGTCTCTTTTGTTGAATCGATTATCAATTTATGCGTTAAATGGTCATGGGTATCACGAGCCATCTGTTGTGGGAGTTAAACGTTATCACTGTCTTAGTGTTTTGCAGGCCTGGAGATTGTTCCTGTAAATCATCCCTTTCCGGGGTTCCTCTCATGGATGTGAGCAAAGCGATCATGAGTGACAATCATCCCTTTGTAGTTTAAGTCATTCCAGACGGGGAAAAGTTCTCTCTTCCTCCTGATTGGACTAAGTCTACCATTGCTTTAGGGCTCTCTTGAGGAGATAAGCAGAGCAGGACGGAAAACTGAGACAACTGGACCAGTTTTATGACTTGCAAATGGTTAGGAGGGTGAATCTTTTGATGTCTCTGGAATGTAGAGTTTCAACAGCTCACGTTGGTGATTCAAGGGTTTATTCGTGTCTGTTTGACAGAGATCCTACACCTCATTTTTCGCTCTTTCATACTTTTGCATCCTATCTCTCTTCTCCTCTCCTCCCATTGAAAAGAACGTTGACAAATGCAAACTTACTAAACCTTGCTGTACACGATTGTAAACAATCTCCAGAGTGGTTAGCATCTCATAGTGTTTTTTTTTAATCACGTTTGTTCTCCCTTCGGCTTGTTTACTCTATCAGGTCAAACGATGTTGATTTCTATTAGCAATTAATCCTGGTTCTCGGTCTCATTACTTTAATAATACTTATTGATTAATTCAATTATAACTGCTCTTATCAATTTTTATGATATCAGTAAATATTACTAATTTTCTATCATCACTGATTGGAAATTTTAGTTTCATTTCATAATTAATTACAGTTTCTGCATCCATATTGCAATAATACTTACTGATGTTATATATACTTGCAAATATTATCAAATACTTGCTGAAATAAATAACACTGAAGGCTTAGGTGTGCAATGCATGGCCCGCCACAGATATTCAGATGCATTTTGTCCATTAAAATGTGTAATTCGCAACTAAGTGGTGGATGTTTTCACAAATATTTAGCAGAGTGTATTACAGTTGCATCAACTAATCAAGAAACGTTTTCAGGTTGTGAGGATCTGTATCATCGGCATAACAGTGAAAATGAATGCTAATGTCCCTCTGGGGAAACATATACAAGGAGAAAAGCAGAGGACCTAATACTGAGCCCTGTGGAACTCCATACTTGGATACTTGGTTTAAATTAAGAGACGTCTTATGAAACACTATTGGTAGCGGTCAGATAGACAGAACCTAAACCATGCTAATGATTATGCAAAAATACCAACACAATCCTCAAGCTATTCAAGAGAACGTTGTGGCCTATGTCGTCGAAAGACTTAAAGGCACCTGAAGAGTGATCTAGCTGTGATGAGATGGCAAAAGCAGGTCATTTGTAACTTTAAGCATAGTATCTCTGTTGTGATGAGGCTTAAATAATGATTAAAATGATTCACAAATACAGTTTCTCTGCAGAACTGAACACAGTTGAGAGCACACAGTTTTTGTAATATTTCAGATAGATATGAAGATTTGGGATTGTCTATTATAAACCTTGGGCCTTACTTATAAAATGCATGTATGATCATATTTGAGCCTAAATTACATAGATTCCCCTGTTGTTTATTTATTTTAGCAGAAAACATTGACGTAGGAAGAAATCCATCAACTTGCATAAATGTTTGTTTTATGTGCTTTGCTGGAATAAGCATACATTCTCTAGAAAGTAAGAAATCAGTGAATACATCATTGCAATTACTGAAACTTTGTTGATTGGCATGTTATCAGAATTATGTTTTTGTTAATCTAGACTATGAAATACATGCCAATTTACAAAAATACTGGAAGTAAATCACACCTACCACCAGGGTTGGGAGGGTTACTTTTAAAATGTATCCATCAGTTTTTGTAATATTTCAGAGAGATATGAAGATTTGGGATTGTCTATTATAAACCTTGGGCCTTGCTTATAAAATGCATGTATGATCATATTTGAGCCTAAATGACATAGATTCCCCTGTTGTTTATTTATTTTAGCAGAAAACATTGACGTAGGAAGAAATCCATCAACTCGCATAAATGTTTGTTTTATGTGCTTTGCTGGAATAAGCATACATTCTCTCTAGAAAGTAAGAAATCAGTGAATACATCATTGCAATTACTGAAACTTTGTTGATTGGCATGTTATCAGAATTATGTTTTTGTTAATCTAGACTATGAAATACATGCCAATTTACAAAAATACTGGAAGTAAATCACACCTACCACCAGGGTTGGGAGGGTTACTTTTAAAATGTATCCATTACAGTTACAAATTACTTCATTAAAAAAAGTATTCAGTAACGTAATCCAAGTACCACAATATAAAAGTAATGTAATCTGATTACTTTTGGTTTACTTCAAGTTACATATGTAAATAAGTCAAAAAAAGTAGTATCTAAGTACTTTTATTTAACTATGACTTCAAAATTAAAACTAGTAAAAACTATTTGAAACTATTACAAATCGTGTCTTGTTTCACCATCTAGATAGTACAGCCTTTATATTTATATAAAAGGCTATGCAGACATTTAGTAGCTTTACAGTTTAGCATTACGGTTTTATTTTTATTATTTCTTTAACGTGTACAAGTAAAAGTCTCCCCCTCTCCGGGGGATTGCCACCTTGTCGTGGTGGAGAGGCTTGCGTGGTCCTGTGATCCCAAGAGCGATGCCGTCTGGAGCTATGCTCCTGGTAGGGTCACCCATGGCGGTAAGGTCAAGGGGGAGGTTCCTTGACAAGGAGAACCAAGACCTCAATAGCGGTGCAGGCGGAGGATGATGGCTGGCCTTACGGAAGCATCACAACAGCTGGGAAGGCGGATGAAGGCTGCAGCAGAAAAGGGCGCCCAGTCGTCTTGGATCCCATGCCACTAGATTCTGACCCATTTCTGTCAAGGACCATGTGGTGACTGTCTGTGCACCAGTCTCTCCACATTAAACAAAATCACGCACAGGCGTCCTCCTTGGAAACCACCTTAACATCCTGGTTAAAGTCCTATGGCGACCAGAGAGTGGCGACGGGGGCAGGATTGTGAGATCTGGAAGCCCCTAGTCATAAACTGGCACATTAGGCGGTGAATGCTAGACTCAGTCGTTGGGCTCTTGGAACGAGGCAGAAAGAGTCCTTCGGCAGCTGCACCCACGACGGAGCAGCCCTTTTTAGGATCCACTCTGCTCACCCCATGTGGGGAAGAGTCTAGAAAAGGTGCCCTGAAAATAGCCTGCCTCAAACCTCCTGACTGGATTACCGTGTCCAGAGGGATCACCATTTGCGGTCAGAAACACAAAACTATGAACTTTGGAGCCTGGAATGTGCGCACACTGATGAATAGTGCAACCAGTGATAGACCGGAAAGGAGAACTGCAATTATTGCTAGAGAACTGAGAAGATACCGGATTGACCTAGCTGCCCTCTCTGAAACCCGGCTAGCAGACGAAGGACAACTAAAAGAGGAAAAGGGTGGCTACACTTTCTTCTAGAAAGGAAAACTGCTGATGAGCCCAGGATCCATAGTTTTAGAATTGCCATTAGGAACCAGCTTATCAGCCACCTCTATGAACTTGTGGGGATTAGTGAGCGTCTCATGACCATCCGTCTGGTGCTTGCCAACAACCAGATAGCAACAGTTGTGAGCGCCTATGCCCCTACTTTAGACTCTGAAGAGGAAGTAAAAGAGACCTTCTATGCCTGCTTAGATGAGACACTGTCGAGAATCCCCAAGGAAGATAAGATTATTCTCCTTGGAGACTTCAATGCAAGGGTTGGCAGGGATGAACACCTCTGGAAGGGCACTATAGGAAAGGAAGGCATCGGAAACAACAACACTAGTGGAGTTATGCTTCTCAGCAATTGTGTTGTGTTAAGCATGATCTCATCATCACTAATACTCTTTCA